TCGCCCGCTGGGCTGCACCGGCGCCCCGCCGCCGCCTCCGGCCGCAGAGGAGCCCGCGGCAGCGCTGCATCAGCGGAGGAAAACGGGGACGTAATTCCTCGAGCTCTACGTGCGGCTCTGAGAGCTCCGATAAATACAAGGAGCTATCTGTTATTTTTCAATTAAGATTCAGAAAACACTCGGTGTCTTCTTCACAGAGCTCGCATCGAGATACCAGAAGGTATTCCTCCTTCTAATGTACGCGTGTTTCAGTTTAGTAGTAGGAGGCTTTCAAAGGAGTCATAGAGTAAATAGGTTCCTTTGTACTTGAAGGTCTTCTGACCAAACCTCCCACTCCAATAACCTTTCTTATGCCAAAGAAACCGAAACAAAAATAAACCAAATATATACTGAAGCTTGAGAGGTTATCTCTTCTGTATTTTAATAATATGCTCAAATTCAATACATATTAGCTTCTGCTTTAGTTCCCATGAAGAAGATGAATACTATCAGTACTGTAGTCTCTAAGCTGTTCCTATAAGAAATACTTGAAAGCATGGAGAGAAAAGGTTTAAAAATGTTCAATTCCTAACATAGGAAAACTTATGATGATCAATCACCTGTATCAAGTAATGTGAAATAAAATATCACATAAAATAAAGGATACTTTCTGTAGTTCTATTGAAGTTGTTTGGTGGTTTGTTGTTTTTTTGTTTTTTTTCCTGAACTCAAATGTTCGGTACATTATATCCTATAAATTAATCCATTTATTTGAAATTAGTTAATCAGCTGCAGGTATTGAGCTTTCACTGATGTGAATATTCTCCCATATGAAAGGTTAGGGTTTTGATTTGGTGCTACAAAAATCAGTCCTGTAGCAATTAATAAAGACCAGTTTATGGTCCTGTCAGCTCAACACTGAGACAGTAACACAGGACTTCCTTTCCTGACAAATAATCAAAAGAGGTTTCATTTTCAGCTATGGATTCTTTTTGTAATCGATAACTGTTCTTATTTTTTAACATTCCTCGCTGTACAGAAAACAGTTACTGCTTTCAGTTGCTTTTTTCTTTGCAGTTTTTCCAAAATAGAATTCTTCACTTGCAACAAAGGGTTTTCCCCTTCTATAGAGATGAGAATGCGTTCCATTAAGGAATCATTTGGATTCTTGTTGTAATCTTAAAGTTGTTTCAGAAATTTACACATTTCATCAGGAAACAGAAAAAAAACCAAAAAAACAAACAAAGCTGATACATTTGGACAAGTGGGTATCAGCTATTGTTAGAACATTGTGTCTGTTTTAAATCAGAGGTCTGAAACCAGACCACATTCAAAGTCTTTTCTGACACCTTTGAATATTTGGAAAAATGATCACCTCACCTTAAGTTTTTGTGGACAGCCTGTGTATCAGAGAGGTGTCTTTCAGAAACAGTGTCTTGGAGGTAAAAGACAAAGAGTATACTCTATTACTTTCTTATTCTAGCAGAAAGTCCATTAACATACTACTGAGAAGCGATAACCAGGAGCTCAAACTTTCACAGCTTGTGCCTTGAGTTTAGTGTCTTGAAATTGTCTGGCAGCAGTGTTCCTTACTTTATGCATTTCAGAAAAACTAAATTCTGGTACATAAAGTGCACCTAAATAATCAGCTCTTCTGAAGTCAAAATCCTGCCTGTGACATCAGAATTAGCTACCAGGAGATTGGTGTGATGTGACAGGGAGGATTATGACTTCAAGTAGGAATTAAGTAGCAGGGACTCAAATGAGACAAAAATCCTATTTTCAAGCAAAAAAAAAAAAAAAGTCCTAGTAATTGTAGGAAAAGAAGAAAATGGTACTAAGGGGAATGCACAATGGACTCCAACATGAGCTGTTTCTTAATTCTTTCTGAAGTCATGAAGCACAAAGAACTCTCTAAGGATTAAAGAATATAACAACTATGATGCATAAGTTTACATTAATGCATTTAATTTTTTTCTCTAATATTTTTAGAAGTATTTGGAATGTTTGAAACCAAGAATTTTCTTTACAGACTGAATGTACATTCACATCCCCCCTTCCTAATTCCTCTATTATTAAGCCAGTGGTCTTTCCGTTGGAGAAAAGAACACTAAAAATATTTAAAGCCTCCTTGTAAGCCTTAACCTCAAGATTCAGCTATACATCTGCCTTTTTTCTTTCCTTCCTCTTTAGTCTAGAAGACAATTTCACAGTTCCTGCATTCTTATACTAGTATTTTTGTACACTCAATACCAAATGCATATAATCATGCGGAGATAACTGGTTTCTGAATATATGCTATTTTCCCCCTTCTGGATTATTAAGAATAGCTTCCATAACCCCCCCCATATATTTATCTACTATTTGGTCAAACACTGCAAAAGCCTTTTTTTTTTTTTTTAATTTACACGGATTACTTATTCTTGTTCAAAACACAAAAGCTTCTTCCAAAACCCACTTAGGTTATTACTAGCAGACCATTCTACTGACGTGCCTCTCTACCTCATGTATTGCTTGTTTGAAGGTCTGAGTGCTTCTCAGTCTGAGAAAAAGAGGCTTGGGTTTTTAGTGTTTTCTTTTGATTTTTTTTGTTGGTTTTTTTTTTTTCATTGGAGGGAACATTCCTGAGACCTAAGTAGAAAAAGTCTGGTATGAGGATTTCTAGAGTGTTGATCACAGCCCCCCTGAAGAACTGGGTCAGGAGATTAAGAATGTGTCTCTCAGAAGAAAATGCTTGATTCCATA